ACAATCTCAAGTCTAGGGTCAACTGTTATCTATCCTATGTATCCTCATAACCTGTATTTTCTATCTCCTCCTCTTAATTCCATACAACAAACTTATTCAGTAATCCTCTACTTTGAGTGGCTTTCAGGCCTTGTATTAGTTGAACTATAGTGTGTGCATGTGGCATCCTTCAGTGTTGAGTGACCATAGATCTGCACCCAGTGAGTTACATCTTCTCCAGAGTGCAGGCCTGGGTAGGGTTTTAGGAGAGATCAGCTGTTGCCCATGAAGCACATCTCCCCTCTCCAACCCACTGATGTTGTCCAAGGGAAATGTAGTATTCCATGCTAATAGGAATATATACTTGAAAAACACGGTGGATAAAATAAGTAAAGGTTTATTGTAACAATCAGTACAATAAGAAATAAGGTAACAGTTATGCATACGCAAGTCAATCCAGTAATGAGGTAGTTCTCGCATAAGTCTAAGTTGTACTCAACAGATCCCAGCTAGTATATTTACTAACCTCCCCCTGTGACCACATGTGGCACAGGGCCAAATTTAAAGTGGGGTATCCGAGCCTGTAGGCTCAGCCAAAAATTCCTTGTTGACCCCGTATAAAACGGGGTTCGGTAGCTTTTTCCCAAGATGAGACTCTGCCCTTTGACATAGCCTCATCTGGGGATCCTCTCTGTCTGGAGGCAGAGAGTTTGACCAGCACAAAAAAGATTCCTGCTTGGATATTTGCCAACTGCCCTACGTGGTCAGATGTGGCACAAGACCAAATTTACCATGGGGTATCCGAGCCCGTAGGCTTGTGCAATAATTCACCATAGAACCCACATAAACGGGATCGGGTTGGTCTCCCTCCCCGAACGAGACTCTGCCGTTCAGCAAAGCCTCTTCCGGGTTCCTCTCTGCACAAAGGCAGAGAGATCGACCATGTAGCTGAAAAGATTTCAGCTAGAATATTCAGCCGTCCCACTATGAGGGTTGCATGTGGCACAAAGCTGGGTTTAACGTGGGTTCACCGAGCCTGTAGGCTTGGCCAAAAAATGCCCCTACAACCTGCATAAATGGGATCAGGTTGGTCTCCCTCCCCAAACAAAGCTCTGCCCTTCAGCATAGCCTCATCCAGGTTCCTCCCTGCTCAGAGGCAGAGAGTTCAACCTGCCAGTCAAAAAGATTTCGGCTAGACTCCGTAGTCTGTTGACTTACCAATACTTATAGGTAGTTACTACCTATAGTGTAGTTACTCATGGGCGGGGGTGACAGGTTATTCCATTACATCAGGAAAGACTTGTGTCAGTAAATCATTAATATCTCAAAAAAATTCTTATAATCTGAGAATATTTTCTGGCTTTAAATAACCTGCAAAATGTTGAAAATCTGTAAAAAAGAAACTTTAGTAATATATTGCACGTTATTATAATTCTGCTTGTTCCTCACTTAGGACAACATTACCCCCTGCCAATGCCTCATAAATAATGGACTATTCCATTTTGATTGCAGAAAGATGGAAAATATATCATCAGACATGCTACTTGGTTTCAGTGAGAAAATAGAAGAAAGAAAGAAAGGAAGAGAGAAGTGACCAGTGGATAAAAACATTGGTTGATTGATTCAAAAAGAGACTTGACACAAAGAGTTGTGAGTTCAATACCTGGACACAACAGAGGTGAACAAAAAACTTGGAGATTTGAGTTATCAAGACAAATTAACTAAAGCTGAGATATCCAAAGTAATGTCACATGGAATTAGAACAATCTAACCCCCGTAGACTAAATAAAGGGTTCGGTTCAAAATTCCATCTCCTGAAGAAGGTCGAAGTGTACAATGGCCGAAACATGAATATGGCAATAAAGATGAGGACAACAGTCCAAATAATGTAAATGGAAGACAGAAAGTATTTAACATCTGTTTCAGTGAAATGGAAAAAGATGTCAATTTAAAATGTTTTCATTTGTACCCCCTTACTTCTTAAAATAATGATCAGCATTCATATTTGTGATTGTTATTGCAATAAATTGTCAAGCTTGAATATTTAACAATGTGATAGGGGAATTTCTACAGATATTTTATTGTCATAGAACTTGCAACGATCCTGTTCAAATATTAACTTAAGAATTCAGTTTCATTAGAAAATACAAACTGAAATTTTCTCGGATATTTCTAGTTAATATATAAGAACCCTATTTTATTAGTAATGCTTGACTTCATTCCTGACCACTTACAATTACTTTCTTCCTGATTTTTAGTGCATTCTTATAATAAAATTACTAGCAATATCATTAGCTTATACATTTGACAGGGCCTGTTCTGTTATTAAAAATTTTCTTGTTCTTGACCTCTGACAAAACTGAATGAATGCCAAATTTTGTTCAGACCAATTTTCAGTACACAATTATAAATTTCCCTTTTAAGTACTAATGTCACTCTGTTGATTCCCATTTACTCTTAGTACTGTGAATGATGTTCATTTTTTTTGGCACCAAGATCTCACCAACAGTCGGTTGTTGTAAATTCCCCAGAGAAACAGGGAAGTAAAATGGGCTCTTCCTACTTTCTTGGCAGCCGACCAAAATTAATATCTTGCAACAGTTGCTGAACAGAACATGTTTATTTTTTAATTCTGAAAAGAATTATTAATAACGTTTGGGCAATAAAATGTAGAATAGAAATTTTGTCACTTGTTCATTTAAAATATACCATACATACTTGTGTAGTGCTCGATCTTGTGTCTTGCATGACCCACAAATTTTCACTTATAAAAAAAGATTTTATCATGTATCTCATGTTTCATGTGAGTTCCTTTTATGAAAGACCAAATTACAATAGAGACTAACCTCTTTTCCTCTATCTCTTTATCCCTTCTTCTAGTTAAATTAAAAAAAGTAAAAGAGAATGATAAAAGTATTGTTAGTAATGCTATACTCATTGTGTAAATGCGTACAGCCATAAACAACCAAACGAAAAACAGCTAAACATCTTGTAAACAATTGAAAAGATGCTTATTCAATATGTTTGTATTTTATAATATGATACTAATATGTGAATATTACATGCATTATTAATAGGTATAGTTAAGTAAAACATCAGTTTTATTAAAATCATGTTTATTTTAAATACAGATGTACTTTTTGTCTACAGTAAGTGGATATATACTTTGGTCAATGGCATAACGAGGGCTAATTGTACATACACTAATTTTATATCTCATGTATGATGTGACCCCCTTAAAATTAACTTCAAAATTAGGTCTTCAAAATACGCATGATACACAGATATATCTCTATCTGTAAAAGGCAGGATGTGTGTGTGTGTGTGTATAACGAATGCACGGCTGCAATTTTCGACAGATTTGCACCAAAATTTATATGCACATGCTCCAAGTTAGCGGGAAGGCCAAGACTGACTTTGCATTTCCCAACTCCCTTCAATAGTGGAAATAATCTTCTATGGCAGTTTTCATATAATTTGCACCCATTTTCTACTGGCCAGAGTGAGAGCCTGTAGCTGGCTGTCACGAATAGGCAGGAAGATTCTATTGGCCAGCGTGAGAGCCAACAGCTGACTGACATGAATGTTAACTAGCATGCTAGCATGCAAAAAAATTGATAGCTGCATTTGTCACAAGTGGAAAAAATTTAAATCTGCATGGCACTTTACTCCAATTGGCTCATTCGCTTGCTTAAACTCAATGTTGATTCTGATTCTGCAGAACTGGATTGAGTGTGAAAAAGTATTTGTTGTTAACATTCTCTTTTCATTCGGTTTTTCCAGTTACGAGTCCTTTTTTAAAGCTGATCGTTTTGTGTTCATTTTGTTTAGTTCTTTTTTTGTAACAGATTTAATGTTTAGTATAGAGCTTAGAAAAAATTCGCAGTGTGAGATAGGCAAGAAGTAAGGCATGTAGCAACATCAGCACGGCAAAGGGAACTGCTTTAAAGGCAAGGAAGGGCAAAAATATTTTAAATCAAGTGATAGCGATTGCTGTATGAGTCGTACGATTTTTGAATCAAGCACGGGCAACGCCGGGCCATGATGCTAGTATGGTATATAGAAAATATATACAATTTTTAAAAAATATTTGTATCTTTACAAACTTTGTAATATTACAAATATCAACCTTTGTCACTCTGCATTATCTATGTAGATTACCTCCCTTTCTACTCTATATCAGAGTCTCCTAACCCCAATAGCTTAATTCTCAATTTCAGTCAAGGTTATTTTTTCTGTTGGCATGGCAACTATGAAATTCAAATGAGATGAGATGTACACATAGTACAGTGTATATTGGCATGGAAGGTGGAAATCAAATCTCAGGCTAATTTGTTGCATTCATTTTCACACAAATATGATTATATATCTGACAATATTGCAAAATTGACATCTGAAGAAATATATTTTACATCTGAAGAATGACAACATTTACATTGAGACATTAACAACTTTTGATATCTGGATTTTTACAATATTTCATACATTTGACAATACTTGCAACATTTACATCTGGAGAAATACAATTAAAATATAGACAGATCATTCAAATCAAAACATTGAGAACATTTACATCTAGAGAGATATTTACATTTGGCAACATTTGTAAACATTTACATGTTGAGAAATACAATTGACATTGGGACATTAACAACATTTTTTATCTGGTCATTTACAAAAACAAACAAATCATCTGGAGAAATAAAATTTACATATTGACATGTACATCTGGACCTGAACAACATTTACTTCTGGAGGTTTGCAACATTTACATATATTTGACAACGTTTATATGATTTTCATCTTGAGACTATTGGTTATTTGTCATTCATATAGATAATTGCAACATTTGCAATATTTGCAACAAGTAATACATCTTGTATCTGACATCTGGGAAAATTTGCAACATTGATTTAATTTAATTTGCATCTGGCACTTTCCACAACTATTGCAACATTCTCAATGGGGAATTTGGAGAGAATTTACCTGGAAAAGTAGCTTTTGCATCTGGTAACATTAGGATGCAAATATCTCTACAACATTTACACTTGGGCATTTGCAGCATCAACATCTATCTATCTATCTATCTATCTATCTATCTATCTATCTATCTATCTATATATATATATATATATATGTATATCTTTTGGCATTTATAACCTTTTAATATTGCAAACATCCAAATACAGAGATGCTATATTATCTGGAAATTTGCATCTGCAAACATGCAACATTTACAACATTTGCACTGAATCTTGATATCTGCAACATTTGCATCTGGATATTTGTTAAAGTTCATCTGGACCAAGGTAACAATTCTATTCAAACATCTGGGAAATATAAACATTTGCATTTGCACATCATGTACAACATTTGCATGGAATATCTGTCAATAAGGTGTAAGGGGTTACTGAGTGTTAGAGAATATGAGAAAAAATACACATTTAAAGAGAGAGAACAATAAAAGGACAAGAATTGAGAAGAGAGAAAATGATGATTGACATTTCACCCCAAGCAAGGCAATAAAGCCACAAAGACTCAAGGGGTTATTGAGTGTGAGAGAATATGAAAAAAAAATACTATTAAGGAGAGGCAACAATAGAAGAAGAAGAATTGAGAAGAGAGAAGATAATGATTGGCATTGCATTTAAATATTTGAAGGTCAAATTTGACTCAAAAGCAAGAAGCTGGAAGAGAGTTCCACAAGCGAGAAGTGTGAGAAAAGAATGGCATAGAACTTAGTATTCCATCTAACCATTTCAACTGTGAAATGATGAGGCCTTTCCACCAATCTAGTACTGAACTTAAATTCATAAAGTCTAGGTACCATAGAGGAAAGCTCATCGAAACAATTACTGTGAAAATATTTATATAATTAAAATACACAGGGAAGCTATGTTATGGTGGTGGGGAAAGTGACTCTGGAAAAATAATGTTTTGTAACTGAAAACATTCTCCACCTAACTGTGTTATGGCACTGGCTGTATCTATTGTAATTTTCAGGAAGATAAATAAAACTAATTTCTTTTGGAGGATTGCTCATATTTACATTTGGACATTTATAAATTTGTCATTTTACAAAAATTATTTCAAGGCATTAATAACATTTGTATTTGTGGGTATTCACAACTGGTCACTTGCCACATTTGATATTTGGGACTTAAGCAACTTTTTTATTTGGACATTAGCAACATTTAAATCTTTGTATTCATAACATTTATATCTAGGCATAATCAACATTTGTATTTGGACATTAGCAACATTTAAATTGTTAGGTTCATAATATTTGTATTAGCAACATTTGTATTTGGACATTAGCAACATTTAATTCTTTGTATTCATAACATATCTAGGCTTAAACAACATTTGTATTTGGACATTAGCGACATTTAATTCTTTGTATTCATAACGTATCTAGGCTTAAACAACATTTGTATTTGGACATTAGCAATATTTAAATCTTAATATTAGGTTCATAATGCTTGCATCTTTTCATTAGCAACATTTGTATTTGGATATTTGCAATTTTGAATTCGCAACATTTGTACATTAACAACATTTAAATCTTTTGGGTTCTTAATATTTGTATCTTTGCATTAGCAACTTTTTTATTTGGACATTTGCAACATTTAAATCTTTGTATTCATAATATTTAGATGTAGGCCTTAACAACATTTGTATTTGGACATTAACAATATTTAAACATTTAGGTTCATAATGCTTGCATCTTTTCATTAGCAACATTTGTATTTGGACATTTGCAACATTTAAATCTTTATATTGACATTTGCACCTGGCCCTTAGCAACATATAGACATTAGCAACACTTAAATTGTAGTTGTTCATGACATTTGAGTATGTGTATTGTCAAATATTTATATTTGAATTTGAGCAATATTTAAATCTTTGTATTCATGACAATGCACGGTGAAGTAATGGATAGTGGCTCAGATTGGGGAATTGGAGAGCTGAGTTCAAATTCTAGTCAAGTTCATTGCATCCACTTATGTACTAATAGCCTTGGAAAAGGTGTGAATCCATCTCTTCTTTTCACTATGGGTAAATAGCAGGACAGACTAGGTCCTATAATCTTGGTTGGTAACTAGCCTAAGAGAAGGAAAACTCTGAATTCAAACCAACCTGGAGATGGTTGGGCTCCATCAGGCTATATTATCTAGGAAACACCACTTCTATTGCAGCTGCAGTACATGTGGTACCCCTATGTGACTAAGGGGTTATGGAACATGTGATGGTGATCAATTTACATCTGGGCTTTGCAAATTTCGTATTTGAACATTTATTGCATTTGAAATTTGGCTTTCTTAACATTTGCATCTAAGATTGGAAGGATAAGTGTGTGAAACTCTTGCATGGGGCTTTTGCATGCATCAAATTGCATGTATTTTTGTGATTGCATGCATTTTAGAAATGCCTGTAGTCCTCAAATTACATAAGATTTTTTGAGAGAGAAATTAATTTTGATATGATTTACTGTTCAAGCTAGTTTTCTCATAAACAACATTTCAGCCATTGTACTCTCAGGCCTTCTTTACTTGTCTGGCATAATGCAGCAAATGCATGACCAAAGGATTAAAGAATTAGTCCCTCCCCCCCACTGTTTTTTAACACTACTAGGATGCATGGGGTTACTGAGAGTGAAAGAGAATGAGAAAACTCAGGAGAAGTGAGGAGAAAATGACAAGGTTTCAGGAAGACATAAGATGGCGATTGGCATTGCATTTAAATTTTTGAAGATTGTAGGTGGCAGGGACAGAATGTATGTTTGTCAGCAAAAGAGACACCCCAAAAGGCAAATTACAAATCAGGGATACCAAAATCAAACAAATACAAAAATTTAAATATCTAGGAAGTGTTTTAACAGAGGTTAGAAAGTGTGACATTGAAATCTGAAGGCACATAGGGATAGCATAATATGCCTTACAAAAGCTAAGCAGAGTATTAAGAAACAAAAATCTCTTCATTAGAAACAAAGAAGAGAGTACTGAACTGTTATGTGATATCTGACCTCCCCTATGGCAATGAATGCTGGACAATCTCCTCAAAAATGAAGAAGAGAATTGAAGCAACAGGAATGTGATTGTACAGTAAGATGCTGAGGATACCATGGACCAAACATGTGAGCAGCAGCAAAGTTTTAGAGAAAATGGAAACAAAAAGGACACTTATGCTTAACATAAAGAAGAGATAGTTGAAATTTCTGGGGCATATAATGAGGAAAAGGGGCTTGGAAAATGTGATACTCTTGATGGCAAGAGGAACAGAGGAAAACAGTGCATGACATACTTAGTGAGCTTGAGTAAATAAATGGCAGAACAGGGTTTAAGAGAAATAAGAAAAAGACAAAATTTTTTAGGAGCTACAAATGACAGGGATTTGTGGAGAGCCATAATCGCCTACATCCTGAGGGGACACAGCAAATAAAAAAGGAAGCAGGAAAACAAGAAATCAAAAGTAAGTTCCACAGAAGAGAAAAGAAACTATTAGAGTAGTAAAGACAGTTGCATTTAGCTATTTCAATAGTAAAAGGATGAGACCTAACTGCCGATCTAGTAGCACCCTTACATTCATGCCATCGAGATTTTAGGGAGGAAAGCTCATCAGAACAACTGTCATGGAAATATTTGTAGAAAAGACAGAGGGAAGCCATGTTACATTGATGAGAAAGTGACTGAAGTTGAAATGCCAGGTCAGGATTACATTACCAAACCTTCCTGGATCCCTGGCAATAATGAGTTCAATCTCTGGGCCTTGTAGTGCTGAAAAGTCATGAAACCTGGTTAGTGAAAGAAAGAGTGAAGCAAGATACAGGTAAAATTGACTCGGGAGTATAAACAGATATGAGAAATTAGCTAAACAGAATAACAATACTTTACAGAAAACAGAATGAGAATACTTTAACACTGTTGATTGAATAAAGGGTTGGTTTAATATTGCAACATGTTGTTGGGTGCAATAAATGACACCTGAAGAAGCTTTGGCGATTATAAAGGCTGAAATATTGCAAGTATAATAACCAAAATAAGCATGCTGGCCTGAATAATAAGGTATATAATAATGTATTTTTATAAAAATGCATTGTAAATAATTTATTATAAAAATATATGTTAAATAATTATAAAAATGCATTGCAAATGATTTAATATAAAAATATATTGAAAATATTTTATAATCAAAATGAATTGTAAATGACTTATAAAAATTCATTGCAAATGATTTGATTGTGAATAATTATATATAAAAAGGCCTTGTGATTTACAATAAAAATGCATTGAAAATGTTTTACAATCAAAATGAATTGTAAATGATTTATTATAAAAATGTATTACAAATAATTTTATTGTGAATAATTTAATATAAAAAGGCCTTGCAATTTACTATAAAAATGTACTAAAAATGATTTATTATAAAAATACATTGTAAAAGAATTACTATAAAAATTCATAGCAAGTTATTTATTATAAATTGCTTTGAAAAATAATTTATTATAAAATGCATTGCAAATGATTTGCTATAAAATGAGCTGTAAATGATTTATAATAAAAATGAATTGTAAATGATTTAATATAAAATGCATTGCAAATTATTTATAATAAAAATGCATTTTAAATGATTTAATAGAAAAAGGAATTACAAATGATAATAAAATGCATTATAAATTATTTACTATAAAATGTATTGCACATTATCAATAATAAAAAATCATTGTAAATGATTCAATAATGTTGTTTCAAAATTCCAAGAATGATATCAAGTTCAACAGATACCTGAAGAAGGCTGGAGAGCAGAAAGGCTGAAATATATGTGTATAATAACTAAGATGTGAATGCTGGCCTGAATAGTAAGACCTATAATAATAGTAAGTCCTCGTCTAACCAGTGGCACTACTTAATACAAGAAAGAATTTCTGTGAACATAATTTACTTTCTAAGCCTCTTGTAACATTTTTTTAATTAAAATCCAAACAGATGTTCTAATTTCTTTTCAGATGATGATTTGGCCATCTGTCTTATGCTGTGTAAATAAAGTTCAAAGGTCAAATTATCAAGGAAGACAATAAAAATAGCAACAACAAGAATAAACACAACACAGATGTATCTTTTTACCATGCCTCATATT